GAGTGCCTCCTGTTAATCTTTCTAAGGTTTCAGGAGAAAATGAGGTAGGCCTGTAGTGTGTTGGGTGAATCCCTGGGAAAACTTGGACAGGAGTCACACAGGAAGTGCAGGCAAGAATGAGTTGAGCTATGGAATGGGGAAAGATAGATCCATTATTGAATATCACAGATGAAAACTTACTGGTTCTCCACTAATATTCTCCCCAAGGATTCCCTCAATATGCATATAAATGACAAATAAATTGTGTCTAGATGTGAGATGGCATCTAAATTGATTACCATTGCTGCTCTCTGTCCCTTTTTTTTCAGTCTGAGATTTTTTTACATGCCTTTGGCATTTTCTCCTCCTTCACATACCTTTTATATTGGTATCTCAATGCTCTCACATTTACAGTAACACTAGCATGGATCTCCTCCCTACATACTTGGTCCAATTGAACTGCTTTCTCTGCCTTTGTTTTCTTTAGTGCCATTTCTAACTCTTCTTTAAGCATCCCAGAGTGTGATGTTAGATTCATGTGTGGTGGTTCCACTATCTTTAATGAAGAAAATAGTTTTCTAAATTTTCTTTGCAGTTTTTTTTCCATTTTTGTTCTATTTGTAGTTGCCCTCCCATTTCTATCCTTAAAAGCCCTTCAGTTGACTTTTGCTTGATCAAATATCATGTCATACTTTTCTTTAAACTGATTTCACCTTCCCCTGCATAAGACAATATTGTTCACAGCTGTCCATTATCCTTCTACATATGATTTTATAGATAAGTCTATACTTTAACAGGACATAGCCTTTAGAAGCCATTTCTCTCCATTGACAATCGATGCAAATGTTTACTGACTAAGACATTTTCTGGGCTCTTTTGGTTTCCTTCTGAAAATTCATTTAAATTGATTAAACTTCTGTATAAAAGTATTACGGTCAGTGTTAATGTCATTTCTTTTCTCTATCTTCCATTTTATATTTTAATAACTTATTTAAATAATTCAAGGTTAAATAATTTTCTTCTGTATATTTTTCTCATTCTTAATTCTTCTTTTTTAGATAATTCTTAGCTCCGATGAGTTGAAGGTATGATTGTACACAGGTATCAGACTCAAGAATATTACCCACATCCACTACAATTTTTTTCTTGTCTGTTAAAATGTAATATGTTGTATTCTAAAATTTTTGGCCATGGCAACCCATGAAACAAAGAAAAATGAAAAATGATCTTTGCAGCTCCCTTCATCCACTTCAGGGACTCTAGTAGAGTGAGAGGAAAGGGAACAGAGGTTTATAAGAATCACACAGATTTAGACTATCAACAAGCTTCAATTTAAGTACCTACAGGTACTCTACTCATGACTTATGAGTGGTCATGTCGTGAAGTCAATGAATCATATCAATCTTGACATTCTTGCCATGAACAAACCAGAAAAAGAAGAATGTTGTAGTTAAATGGAAAGATGGCTCACAGGTACTCCCTGAAGGGGCAAAGAAATGAGTTAGTGGAATGGATCTTCTCATACACCCAGAGGCTACAAGAAACATGATTTCACAAGACATTTGTCCATCGCATATTGCAACAATATTAATAATATTCAATAGCTTGCTGAAATTCTACCTCTTTCCTGGAGCCTTTCCCAGTCACCCACATCATAAATGTTCTTTTATAGGTCTGAAAGAGTGTTTTATTTGTGTATAGGTTGTGTATCTTTAATATTCTATTTTGTTTTCTCTATAGTTATCTCTCTACATATCTTATTCCTTTACTAGATAGTACGCTCCTTGAGTGAGATCTCCTAAGGCAGAAAGGATTTCTGTGTCCACAAACTGAACTAAATTTGAAAAGATATATCAGTAAGGATTGGCTACCAAATAATAGTAGATTTGCCTTAAGTGACTCATAAAATGTTTTGTTAGATGGATGAATTGCAATCTGCATTAATAGAAGATATGGTTTTGTGTATCAAATAATGTCTTTGAAGAATTGAAGTATTATTATTATTTTCATTGATAATAATTAAAAGAATATAAGTAAGAATATTGTGTTGAATCTATGATTTCAACAATATGGGTGCTTTCTTCACCAGCATAGATTGCAATTTATTCTTGCCTTCTTTCCCTATGTTATTCTTGTCCAAGTACTTCCATAAATCATCTCTTCTGAATCTGCCTTTTAGCCTTTTTATTCTGGGGTGGTAAAGCACTTGGACTATCCCTTGACTTATCTCTTGACTCCTTTGTTACCTTTTACTACAATTGTTTATAGTTATAAATCCTCAAACCAGAATGAAATTCTACCATCCACAATCTCTGATCCTACTTCCATGTCGTTAAATGCCACTAAAGGAGCTCACAAAACCATGACAACTAGGTCTATTTCAAATTCATTTCGTCTATGAGCTTGCACTATTTCATGGCAATATTTTTAGTCTTCTTTGATTAGCATTATCCCTCTTCCTCTAGTGGAATTTTCCACAGCCTTCAAAGACTATTTCAAAATTCTACCCTCCTCTAGTCACCAACCCCACTCATAGCCTTTGTATCTTTTTTAGAGGAACTAACTTCAGACATTGCCGAGAAAATCAAGACCATCCGTCCTGAGCTACTTTATTTCTAATACTATTGATATCCAACCTAAATGTTTACCCATTCCCTCTGCCTTTTCTCCTGTTTCAACAAATGTGTTGTCTCCACTTATAACTTCAATTATATTCCCTTCTATCACCTCAAAAACTGACCCCTTCAAACATTTCCTCTCTTTCATTTTTTTGGGGGGGTTTAGGCAATGGGGCTAAGTGACCTGTCCAGGATCACACAGATAGTAGGTGTTATGTGTCTGAGGCCAGATTTGAACTCAGGTCCTCCTGACTTCAGGGCCGGTTCTCTAACCACTGTGCCACCTAGCTGCTCCCTCCTCTCTTTCATTTTCACTCTTTCTATTTACTTGCCACTAGGTGTTGCAGGAGATAGAGTCAGAAGACCTCAGTTCAAATACAGCCTCAGAGAATTACTAGCTGTATAACCCTGGGCAAGTCATTTAGCTCTGTCTGACCCAGTTCTTTCCATTGTAAAATAAAGATAATAATAATAGTAATAATAATAGCAACAATACCCACTGTTTAGGATTGTTGTGAGGATTAAATTAAATATTATTTGTAAAGTACTTGTCACAGTGCTTGGCACATAGTAGGCCCTTAATAATTGCTTCCATATTAGCTATATGACCATGAGCAAGTCACTTAATGTCTCTGTGCTTGTTTCTTCATCTATAACATGAGGAGTTTGGAAATAATGGCCTGTATGATTTCTTCCAGCTCTAAATCTGTGATCTTAAAATCCTATGATTTAACAAGTCTTATACATTCCACCTCTCTAATATCTCGTTTCCAGGGGCAGATTGACTCTAAGTGATTTGAGAAAGTTATCATTTTTTTTCTTTTTCTAACAAATATTTTATGTTTTAATTAGCCAAGATTTATAACTTTTCTCCTTCCCCTAACCCTATGTTCCCAGTTGAGAACATGAGGAAAACAAAACTTATTACAAACATTTATGAGCAATCAGAACAAATTTCTACATTGGCCATGTCCAATTTTTTTTTTAAATTGTCTCATTTTTCATTCTCAGTCCTTCACTTCTCTGTTAAAAGGTGGGCAACATGTTTCATCATTAATCTTCCAAGATCTCAGTTGGTCATTACAATGAAAAGAGTTCAGCAGAATAATGTTCCATCACATTCATGTACTACAACTTGTTCAGCCATTCCCCGATTTATGGGCACTATTTCAGATTTGCATTTTTTGCCATCTCACAAAAAGCTATAAATATTTTCATACATCCTTAGAGTTTATTTTGCTTGGGACTAATCTCTCCCTTAGTATACCCTCTTACTAATTTCCCTTCTCTTCTTCTTCACTTTCCCTCCTATTTTCCTGTTGAGTAAAATGGATTTCTGTGTACAACTCTGTATATCCTTCCTTCTTTTGAACGAGGAGAATATTGCACACAGTAAGCAATATTGTAAGGATGATAGACTGTGAAAATTATCCATACTGATGAAAATGAGAACCATTGAAACATTTTTTTTAATGTAGAGAAAAGGAAGAAGTTTAAAAAGAAACACAGAAAAGCAGGACAGTTTTGAAAGCAACATTTTGAATTCATTATATACTTTTTTAAAGCAAGTTATAAAATAGAGATTCATGGTTTCATACAAAATCCCCCTTTTGCCTTTTATGTTCATGGAAATGGTCTTTTCTGATGTTTAAGGTCAGAATTTTTTAAAGAAGACTTGGTGGAAGAGAGAGAGAGAGAGAAAAAGAGAGAGAGAGAGAGAGAGAGAGAGAGAGAGAGAGAGAGAGGGAGAGAGAGAATGAAAATAAACAGCCCAAGCTGTATACCACAGTATATAGGATAGTAAAATGAACAAAGGAATGCCTCCATCACCTTGGGTAGATTCTCTGTGGACAGGAGTCACACAAAATGAAAAGGCGTAGATGAGCTGTGCCTCTGTCAGTGGAATGAATGCTCACATCTATCTCTGGGAGAAATAAACTCTGTCTCAAAAGTCTTAGTGCCATTTTTAAGCCACTAAAGCTCTTTCAGTTTTAAGTAATGCAAGCCTAAAACTGCACTGAGATGTTTGGAACACTTTGGATAATATTTGCACCACCTACTCTATAAGGTAGTTGTGAGAAAAGAATTTTGTAAACCTTTAAGTTCTATAGAAATATGTCACTATTATTTTTATCCACAAAATGGAAATTATAAACCTCAACTACTTTAAAGTACTGGTATAATAACATTTCTACTACTAAAATGAATAGAATGAGATAATAAGTAAAGCATTTTACAAACCTTAAAATGCTCTATGAATGCTACCTCTCACTGTTATTATTATAGAAATAACCATACTGTCTCCCATTTATATATCACTTGACATACATAATCTTTTTTGATCCTTTTTTAAGTAGTAGAAGTAAAGAATAATAATATAACAGTACTAACTGACACACTTACTAAGTGTTTCTGTGAACTATGTTAATCGAGAGGGAAGGGGACATCAATGGACTGCATCCTGGCCAGATCATAAAAGGATCCCTCTACCAAAGCTGAAGGCTGTGAGAAGAGGAGAAAGGGGAAATCATGGATCTGGAAAAAAAGAAATAAAGAATGTTAAAGATTAAAAAAGTTGTCCAGATTTCAGGTTTTACCTCCCTTATTGATTTATTTTCAAAATGCCCAGGAGCAAGTAGAGTTGAACTGAAACTGACTTTTAGGTCATTTTTGAAGTTATTTTTGGTTCAGTAGAGCCAGGAGCATAATGTATTGATTATGGACAGAATAGACTTTAAGTAAGACCATAAAAGCCATAAATATAAACCCCAAAGAATCTTTTTTTTTTTTTGGTTACAAACACCTCTAAATTATCTCCCTTTTCCCCATGACTAATGGTAAAGCAAAGTTAATTAAACCACTTAGATGACCTGAGGCTCCAAGACTATTAAAGGACCAGAAAACAATAATAGCTTACATGGACATTTCCTATTTAGAGGTCACAAAGTATTTTCCTCAAAATGACTAAGAAAGTAGCCTTATACCCAGTTTACAGATAAGAAAACTGAGACTGAAAAAGAGGAAATACCTTGTCCCAAATCCATTGCCAAGAAGTATCAGAAGCAGGACTTGAAGTCACAATCAAGTCTACATCTTTTATATTAGAACATTAGAACACGTAGTCCCTTGATGTAATACATTAAATTATTAGGAAACTACAACAAAATACATGTATTGTCTTTTATGAAAGAATTTTGGGGTGCTTCCTATGCTACCTCTACATACTTTAAATCCTGGAAAACAAAGCTGCCATATATGGGCATCCAGCCACTGCCTTCTATGCTGCCTTCTACTTTTCTCTTATTTAAGTTTCCAATTGTTTGTTCTGATCCTGGTAGAACTAGAACCAGTGGATAGAAGTAACCAGGAGACACATATATGTCCAACAAAAGGGAGGGAGGAACAGGGGGAGTAGGACTTCCTAACAATTGGATCAGATTGAAAGGGAATTTTCACCCTTCAAAAGAAAGTAAGTTCTCCATGCTCCAGGGAAACCAAATCCAGCTAAGGGAATACCATGAGAACTGTTAATACCTCAACATTGAAAGACATATGGACAGCTAAGAGATATCACATTTTAATAGCTAATACCACTACCAGGAAGTCTGAAGGAGTGGATGGAGGGAAGCAGATTCTGAGGTTTCAGTTCTAACAGCTAGATACAAATACATATATATTAATCCAAGTTAAGTCAACCTACCAAAAGACTGGTAATTCATGACACATAAAGGAAAAAAGACTTACATGTATAAAAACAGTTGTAGCAGTTCTTTTTTTGATATTAAAAACCTGAATGCTAAATGGATAAACATCAGTTGGGTAATATACTAACAAGTTATAGTCTATGAATATAATGAAATACAATTGTATCATAAGAAATGATGAGAGACATAGTTTCAGAGAAACTTGAGAAGACTTATATGAGCTGATATGAATAGGTACCAGGAGAATACAATAATAACAATATCATAAGGAAAAACAACTTTCAAACACTTGAGAACTTCGACCAATGCAATGACCAATCATGATTCCACAGGACTAATGAAGAAGAATGTTATTTCTTAACAGAGGAGGACAGATTCAAGATGCAAAAAACAGAGATACATCTTTGGTTAATTGGCCAGTATGTGAATTTGTTTTACTTGACTGTGCATATTTGTTACAAAGTTTTTTTTTTTCTTTTTTCTTTGCCAGTGGGGAAGGAAGAAGGTGGGAAAGAAAATAAAAATGTGTTAATAGAATAAATATGCCACCTACCTCCAACTTCCTTATCTTTTGATGAGGAAAATGAGACCCAGAGACTAAATGTAAATAATGTCCAAGGTTACACAGGTTGTACAAAAGTCAAATGAAGATTTCAACTCAAGTCTTTTGACTCCAAATCCAGGCTTTTTCTACTAGACCATACCACCTTGAATTGGATGGAATTGAATTAAATTTTATTGGATTGGATTAAATTGCTTTTTAAGTTTAGTGTAAATTTGCAATAAATGTTTGTTGACTTGAATGGAATTGAAATAAATAGAGAGAGGCCAAAGATAAAACTACTGTGAAGATTCCTTCACATGAACCATTTCTCGAGTTCATATCTTAGACATGGATGAAGAAGAATGGAATTCTTTTCAGGTGCAATTAAATAAAGCTTAGAAATACTAATTCTTCTTGACAGTGTTTGTGTATTTTTTTCTCAGAACACCTTGTGATTTACATGAATAAGCATTGAGTAGGAATGGTGTACATAGTATTCATGCTCCAGATTCATTTTGAACTAGATCCCCTCTCTAAGGTTCCTTTGCACAAGTGGGTCCCTGTAACTAGAATGCACTCCCCTCTCACTTACACCTTGCCAAATCCCTAGCTTTCTTTCAAGCACATCCTGGGTATCATTTCTTATAGGAAACCTTTCTATTAGGACCATCTCCCTCAGGACATTAATTTACATTAGTTTAAATATATCTCCTTTTGATTATACTGTATCTAGCATCATAACCACAGATTTGAGGAACTTTGAGGCTGATTATTCCAACCTTCTCATTAAAGGGTGAGGAAGTGAGGCCCAAAGAGGTAAAGTGACTTACCAGAGGTCACAGAGCCAGGAAGTGTCCCAAAAGAGAATTTGAACCCAAGTCTTCCTCAGTTTAAGGCCAATGTGAATACATAACATACTGCTTCTCATAGAATGTGAACTGTTTTTCTTTTCTGTATATTTTCCTTAGCAAATTGTTCTGAACATATGAGGGACTTGACATTTGTTGAATTGGATTAGATTCAATTATTTCCTCATAATACCTCTACAATATAAAGATAATTGATGATCCTCTGTCAGAAGGGCTATAGAAAAGATTCTGAATTTGGAGGAAGTTTGATCTAGGAAAACTCTGAATTTCTTTCTAGGTATAATATTTTACAATTTCTATATCTCAATTGAAAACAACCATTCAGAGGCAGCTAGGTGAATCAGTAAATGGAATGTTGGTCCTGGAGTAAACAAAACTTAAGTTTAAATCTAGCCTCAGACACTTACTAGCTGTGTACTCCTGAGTAAGCCACTTAATATCTCTGTGTCTCAGTTTCTTAATCTATAAAATGGAGATGAATTTAATGACTCTGTGATCTCTTCCAGATCTAAATCTATGCTCTTAAGATCCTACAACCTACAAAGGATATGAACAAGCAGTTTTCAGATGAAGAAATTAAAGCCACCTATAATCATATGAAAAAATGCTCTAAATCACTGTTGATTAGAGAAATGCAAATCAAAACAGCTCTGACATACCACATCACACCTATCAGATTGGCCAACATGACAAAACAGTAAAATGATAAATCTTGGAGGAGATATAGGAAAATTGGAACACTGATGCACTGTTGGTGGAGTTATGAACTGATTCAACCATCTTGGAGAGCAATTTGAAACTATGCCCAAGGGCCTATAAAAATGTGCATGCCCTTTGACCCAACAACAGCACTTCTAGGGATGTATTCCAAAGAGATCATAAAAATGGGAAAAGGACCTACGTGTACAAAAATATTTATAGCAGCTCTTTCTGTGGTGGCAAAGAATTAGAAATTGAGGGGATGCCCATCAATTGGGGAATGGCTGAACAAGTTGTGGCATATGAATGTAATGAAATACTATTGTGCTGCAAGAAATGATGAGCAAATGGACTTTAGAAAAATCTGGAAAGACCTGTGTGGACTGATGCTAAGTGAAGTCAGCAGAACCAGGAGAACATTGTACACAGTAACAGCCACATTGTACAATGACTAACTTTGATAGACTTAGCTCTTTTCAGCAACGCAAGGATACAAAACATCCCTAAAAGTCTCATGATGGAAAATGCTATCTATATCCGGGGAAAGAAATATGGAGTTTGAATGCAGATTGAAGCATACCATTTGCTCTTTTTTTTTCTTCTGTTTTGTTTTGTTTCTTCTGTCTTGTGATTCCTCCTATTGATTCTAATTCTTCCTTACAACATGACTAATGTAAAAATAAAATAAAAAAAGATCCTACGACCTGTCAGGTCACCTCTGCAATGTCTCTTGTATCTAGAGGTGTGTTGGAGCCAGCTCTAACTGACTTAAAAGAGTTGGTTGTTAATTTTTCAGGATGAGTGTACCTCAAAAATTAGCACTAATGAGAAATCAGTGCTTTATTTATTGTTTTGTTGATTTCTGGACTTTTTAAATGTGTTAATAATGCAGGTTAAACTGAAAAGCGTGTGTTTACACACAATGACCTTCTAACGTATACTCTCATGATAACCCTGTAAGACTGGTAGCAATGTAGTATTATTTCTGTTTTACAGGTGAGGAAATTGAATCCCAGAGAGAGGAAACAACTTCCCCAAGGTCATTCAGGGAGCAAGTAGCAGAGCTGAAATTCAACCATGAAATTCTTCTGTCTTCAAGTCCATTTTATTTCTTCATATTGTCTAATGCTTCTCTTCTCATCCTACCTAAAAAAGCTGTCTACATTCATTATTTTGATCTCTCTTCAGCATTGACCCTGTTGACCACTCTCTCCTCCCAGATACTTTCTCTTCTCTGCATTTTCATAACATGATTCTCACCTAGTTTTCCTCCTTCTTGTCTGACCTCCCCTTCTTAATCTCCTTTGTTGAGTTACCATCCACGTCATGCCCGCTAAGTGTTGAGGTAATCCAAGGAACTGCCCTTGGTCCTCTTCTCTCTCTGTCTTCTCTTCTATATCTACACTCTTTCTTTAGATAATCTTATCAGCTAACATATGCTTAATTATCATTTCTATGCAACTGACTTACACATAGACATTATTTTCTTTCTTGAGTTCCATCCCTACATTACCAACTACCTATTGGACATTTCAAAATAGATATCCATAGTTATCTCAAACTTAGCACATTCAAAACAAAATTAATTTGTTATCTTCTCCTGCCCTACCCCCCACCCACTCCAAACCTATCCTCTCAGGGCTTCCCCATTTTTGGAAAAGGTACCACCATTAGTTATCCAGGTTCCCAATTTTTGCACTAGTAGATCCCCATGTCAGG